GTGTGTCCTCTGGTGGGAGGAGCTGTGTGTGTCCTCTGGTGGGAGGAGCGGCGTGTGTCCTCTGGTGGGAGGAGCGGCGTGTGTCCTCTGGTGGGAGGAGCAGTGTGTCCTCTGGTGGGAGGAGCGGCGTGTCCTCTGGTGGGAGGTGTGGAGTGTGTCCTCTGGTGGGAGGAGCTGTGTGTGTCCTCTGAGGAGAGCCAGGCTCCTTGGAGGAGCGGGAGGGGAACGTTGTATGAGAGATGGAGACTTACTTGCCATTAATAGACAGTCCAGAGAGTGAATGCCCTTTTTCTCGTATGTGTGTATGCGGATTTTTCAGGAAGCATGTACTTTTTTAAACACACTTAATTGATGATAGCTTACATTTAGTCTGTTGAATTAACTGATTAACGGTATTACTCGTATTCTTTGAAGGAAACCTACTTTGGCGAGTATACAGATTCCAGTGAAGATGACTCGGCTCAACAACATAATTCCGCTGAACCTGATTTAGAAGATGACACAGCTGAATCACAGAACTATTTTGGCTTATTCATAAGAAATGAAGGAAGTGGCACCCTGTTCAAACAGCCCGCGTCACACGAAGCTCCCCAAGCTCCAAACTCGTCAGGAGTCAGTGACGCCACGGCCGCCGCGGTCAGGGCCTTGACACCAGGGCCGCGAGAACCTCCAGCCACGCACTCTTTGGCTAGTGAAAAACACCTGAGCACGTCATCTCAACTCACCAATGTTAAAAGAGATATTTTAGATGACGTAAAAAGACAGATCGAGGTTAGGGAGGTGGATAAATCTGTGCAGACCGAGGAAACGCTTGATAAACCCACTAGAGTTCTGGGCGTCGAGAAGTTACCTGGCAGCCCAGCCGACACTGGGCGGTCAGCATTGTGTTATTCTCCCCTTAGCAAGAGGCCGTTAAGTGAGCTCATTGAATCTGGAACCCTCTTATCCAAAATAATAGGATCACCTGAGTCTGAGTTTACTAGGCGAACACTTGCTAATGAAATCACTTCAGCGTCAGAGCGTGTACGGACGATTTCTGAGCTCTTCCGCAGAGTGTCCAGAGAAATGGAAAAGGAAAGAGGAGGCGCACGAGGGCTCCTTTTAGGGGAGTTCTCTGAATCCGAAGAAGAAAGTGCAGGCGACTCAACGGACGCAGCAGGGCTCGATGTTGCTGCTGGTGTTTCATCCTCTTCTACCTCCGGAGCGCTGTCGGTTGGCAGTGGCCCCCCGTCCTCCTCTCGCTTAGAGCATGATCCCGAGACACACGGTCCGGCCGGAAGAGTCTTTCCTGACATGCCTCATTCCAAACGAAGACCAGCCTTGGCAGCATCGGGCCTCTTCAGTCTGCAGTCTGAGGTTGCACCCGAGTGTTCTATAGGCAGAAACGAGCTGGACGAGAGCTTGCATGCTTTGCACCCCGAGTGGGAAGTGTCTGATTTCAGCCATCGGAGTAGCAGTGAGGTAGAACGTACAAAAACTGTAAAAGACACGACGAAAATATGCTCACTTCCTCAGTCAGTATTTATGAAAGCTACAAAAGGCGGGCAGGGTGAAAGCAAAGGTTCTCAAACTGAGTTCCCAGTAGATAAGTCGGAGATCCCACCTTCAGTAGATTCTCAGGGCAGCTTGGTCAAGAGCGGCTTTGGTTTTGTTAACAGCACTTCGTGGCACCATAGTGATTTATTGAGGAGAAGTGGGGAAGGAAGCCTGAGAGCTAAATCGGAGTATGAACAGGAGACTAGCCGTCAGTTAGGAAAGGCAACGCCGTTGTTAGAAGATAGAGGATCAGCACCCAGACTTGAGCTGCCTACAGAACATAACAGTCCTGTGCAGTTCAAGGCCGCTTCACTGCTGCCCAATCAAGTGTCAGTTATCACAAAACAGGCAAGACCTGAAAAGATCCAAAGTTCCGCATCAGAATACTCCAGACTACACCAGGGTGAGCCTGCAGCAGCAACAGAGAATCTTCCTACTGGAACTGACCCTCTGGCGTCTACATTAGAAAGTAATGGAGAAAGAGAGGACAGAACACAGACAGTCAAGGAGGTGACCTCCACAGAAAGGACTTCACCAGGAGTTTCCCCCTTGCGGAGACAGTTAGATTTGGATTCTCCAAATAGTTTTTTACCAGCAGAAAATTCTCATTGTTCCACAAGTAGAGGATCATCTTTCTCTTTTGAAAACATCCCTGTCCAACACCAAGACAGTGTGGTGAAAGCTTCCACCCAGGAGGAGCTGCAGAAACGAAGTCAGCCCCTCCCTGCCACAAATCTGAACGTCGATAAACTTACAGCCACAGAAGTGACGGCATCAAGAGTCTTTCCCTCTGAGGGAAGACTCTGTGGAGACACAGGAAGATCTGATAGTGAGGCCCTGGCTGCTTCATGTGGTTCTCCTGGCATACTGCAGAACCCTAATGAGCCTTTGAAGCTGAAATCCAAAGCTCCTAGTGGTCCTTTTTCTGAAGGTTTTGCCACCACGGGTACCACTTCTCCTTCAGCATTTTGCAGAAAAGATGAAGAGATGCGTGCTCTTACCCAGAGTAGACTTCCTGGTACCTTGTATTGCTACACAGGCCTTCGAGAGGGGCTTGAGGAGGACACTGAAGCGGAGGAGAGTGAGGCCTTGAGCTGCAGTGAGGGTGAAAATGAGAGTGGACTCGCGGTGGGGGGTGGGCAGCAGGACAGCGTGGACAGATCCCTGACCGACTCAGCAGACGCAGATGCTGGTGGTCCTGAGACGAGGCCTTCCATCGAGGTGGGTCATCTGACCTCCGCACTGCAAGATGTGGACATAAATGCTCTGTCTGAGATAGACAGACTTTCTACATTGGAGGTTGTCAGGTTCCTTGAAAGTTGTCAGTTAAGGGATTATAGTTCAGGGGACTCCCTTTCAGAATGTTCTAGCAAAGGAGCCCTGAACAAGGAAATGAGCAGAGAACTAAAGGAAAGTGAAGTACCAGGAGCACAGTGCAGGAAGCAGCACTCTGAAGAGGAAGCAGTCGAAACCTCCGAAGAGTCACTTGTGTTGGAGGAAGATGACTATCCTTTGGGAAACACGAGTCCGCTTCCTGAGTGTTCTTTGGAAGCACTGTCTGAGGTTCTTACCAAGATTGGGCCAGAATTTCAAGTACATTATGAGGATGCTGATGCTAAAGATACTGAGGATTTATTGCTCATAAATATGCATAACAGCATGACAGCTGAAAATTTAGAAGCTCCATGTCAGGAGACAGCTAACTCCTTGTCACACGCTGTACAACTACCACCTCTAACAAACCTTGTCACTAAAAGCAGTCCTCCCGTCAGTGATGGATCTAATGATGAAAGCCTTCAAAGCACAGCTGAGGATGGTTCAAACGCAGCTGGGCAGGTGGAGGGTGGGGAGGAGGTCCTGTTGACATCCGTGGAACCAGCATCTCTGTGCTCCGCCTCAGTAGCAGAGCAGACGCCTGAGCAGGGTTCCCGTGGAGGGGCTGAGACAGCATTTCAGTGTCAAATATCGACCGTGACGTCAGAAGTTATCAACGTGCTCATAAGTAAGGACCAAAATCTAGTGATTGAAAAGGGGGACAACTGGACAATCATAAATGGTGTGGCTGTCATGCCAAGTGTGGACCAGGTCATACTGTGTGACTCTCCTGAGGACACCCGGATTACTCAGGATCAGGAAGGACTGGAAGCTGGTTTCATTGCGGTTGCTTCAGCAAAGTCCCCGGAAACCCCTCGGACGGGCTCTCCGTTCCAGGGGCCTCAGTGTGGCAGTCATACTTCACGTACCCCGGAGGATGGCTCGAGCAGTGGTCCAAGTACCAACTTTGATAAAAGTCGTCTGCGGAATAGACCCGTTAAACCTAGTGTGCGGATTAGTTCTCAAATATACAGTCAAGATTTTGAGTCTCAGATTGTTGCGTCTGATCACACGTATTATAACTCGAAACTTGAGCCATGTGTCAAAAATAAGAATCGATCAAAAATTTCAAACAAAGATCAGCTGACCAAACTGGGAAAGACTTTAGGATCAGGCAGAGTTGAAAGTAATCAGAGTGAAGTTTCTCAGTCATTTTCCGGGGAGAGAGGTAATGCAAAAACTCAGAGAAATCAAACTCAAACCGTCCTCGCCAACGCGGATACGTCTACTCCTCTGGAGTGTTCCGCTGACACGCTGAGTAAGATACGGCAGGAGGTGGGTCCTCCTTTGCCCCCTCTGCTTGCCCCTCTGGTAGCTACACCTCCCAGGACCCTGCAGCCAGTTTCTCCTCTGATGTCCAGCTGCAGCCCTTCCTCTCCAGCCTCTCCTCTTGGCCAGATTTCTCCCTTATGTGACATACCAGTGTCTCCTATGATGTCGCCTTTGCCGGAAGACGCAGGGCACACCCCTCCTGCCTGTGCTTCTCCATCTCCATCCACCATGCCGCCCAGTGAGAGGATATTGTCCTCTCCTCTGCAGTTTTGTGCCACAACACCAAAACACGCACTTCCTGTGCCTGGCCGACTCCCCCCACTGGCACCTGGCCATCCTGCTGTGGCGGGTGCCCAGGAGAATTCCGTTAAAATCCTTGACACCATGTACCCAGAGTTATCTGCCAGGGCCCGGACCCTCAACATCCTCAAAGGGAACATTCAGCTCAACAGAGGCCCGCCTGCTGACCCTAAGAGTTTACCAGGGCCTGTCAGTGCCATAACGGGGTTCAAAGCCATCACCTCAACATCAACGGCTTTTGTGAAGACTGGGGGCAGTGCCACTAGTGACTGTACCCAAGACAAGGCAAGAGATTTGGGGGCTCAGCGGGACTCCAGTGGCAAGAGGACATTGTCAGCGTCCACGCTCCAGAGTGCTAAAAGATTACGCCTAGACAGTGGGTCCTCAGAATCAGAAACCCGGGAAGCCGGGACAGAAGGAATCGGCAGAAACCTCCGAAGGAACTGCCCTCAAACTGAAGTTGTACCAGCAAATGGGGAAAGAAGTTGTTTTGTTCCAACTGTCAATACAGTTTCACAGTTGCCTTTAAATGCGAAAGAAACTGTGGAATCCCAGGATAAAACCATAGCTAACGCTCTGAGGAAGATTGCAGGGTCATCTTTTGACCTGTTACCTGTGATTCGTAGCCATGTGTACGTGGGGAATATCTCCAAAAAGCCCGTCATGAGGGATCAAGAGAAGGAAGTTGTTTTTGAATTTAGCACAACAAAAAAGGTACGTGCCCTGCTTTTCTTCAAGTCCCCTAGGAATTGCATGTTCTCAAAGACGAAGGCTGTCCGTTTTCAGCAAAATGTGTAGTTGACTCTGAAATGTGTAACAGGGATTGAGAGTTAATCATATAAACATGACAGGTGCTTTATTTCTAGCCAGCATTTTTTAAATATGATATATAAGACATTGGAGATTTGATAATCTGTAGTAGCCAAATAACTTAAAATTTTAAGGAAAACAAAATGTCAGGATTAAAATTGCCTACTTCTCATTGATTCTGGCATGTTTAAAGGTTCAGAATGATTTACTTTAAAGCATCAATTTATTATCACGTGATATATCCTTTTTATTCTTTCAATAATATTATATACACATATAAATGTTTTAAGACTCTTTCAAAAAGATAAGGTATAGTGCCCCACCCAGTAATGATCACCATTCATCAAACAAACGGGTGTAAATGCTCATTTTCAACGTTGCGGGGAGGGGTGGGGATTGTGCAGATCTACATACACAGTTTATTAGGACTTCTATGGGTTTGCTGTTGTTGTTAGGTGCCGTCTAGTCAGTTCCAGCTCATAGCGATCCCGTGTACAGCTGAAGGAAGCATTGCCCGGTCCTGCGCCATCCTCCCAGTTGTTGCTCTTGAGCCCATTGTTGGCAGCACTGTATCAGTCCATCTCCGTGCCTTGTGTGGATGATTGCCAGGGTTTGAAGGATCAGACTTCGTTGGTTCTCTGAGTGCCCTCTCAGTCATATGGCATAAATAACTTGCTCCTTTGTATTGCTTACCTTCAGAGAGCATAGAGAGTTACTTACTCCCTTGTATTGCTTACCTTCAGAGAGCATAGAGAACAGTGTAAGTGACTTTGAAAGGATGCTTATTCTCAGACAAATGAATTTATTAAATTATCATTTAATGCTCTCCTTCTTGTTCAAGAAAAATGTTACCCACTGTTTCAAAAATCTCAACAGTATTAATGTATAGAGTAACTTGGAGTTTACAAAATCTAAATGGGAGTGGAATAAGAGTGAGTATAATCCAAAAACAAAAAAGATTATTTTAGCCAAAACCAAGAAACTCTCATTTGTTCAGTGGCAGCAGTGACAGTAGGCTGACAGGTGTATTCAGATGCACCATGTGGTATTTGCAGCATCATTGACAACAGGAGGCACACAGGTATGGAACTGCTTATACCCCAGAGTCTTGTTGCTTACCAGACTCACAATTAACTTATTACCACTGTTGTTACTGTGGTCTGTGTTCTGATATACTGCAAGCTTTATCTTTCGATAGATACTTACTTTTAAATGTTAGCTATTTTTAGGTAGACTAAAGGTAAATGCCAGTACACATTGCCTACTTATTTTTTTTTTTTTCAATCTAGCATTTGGCAGAGCGCTTGCTTCACTCTATCCTCTCCGAACTGAACGTTCAGAAGACATCCACGGAGGACCACAATTACATCCACGCCCTCTGCAGAGTGTATGTGGGCATTTGTCGCCAACTTGGAGACTTGGAAAGAGCTCGCCTGTTTTGCTACAGCATCCTTAAAGAAGGTATGTTTCGATTGTGGCATTTCTGTGTTGAAGATACACTTTTTTTTAACCTCATACTTGGATCTTTTCCACAAAGATTGCTCTGTTTCTTTTAAGATAATTTTATGTTTTATGCATTTAGTAGAGGGCATAAATAGCCTAGCTATACTTGATTTTTAGTAGGAGATTAACTAAGGTCAGCACACGCAGTCTCCATTTGCATATAATAGGGTATATCTCTTTACTGTATATTTGCTGTATTCCTTGTGGAGCTGCTTTGGAATCTGATGTTGTTATTGCCATCAAGTTGACTCAAACTCCTGGCAGCCCAATGTGTGACAGAGTAGAATTGCTCCTTAGGTGTTTTTGGCTGTCATCTTTGTGGAAGCAGTTCACCAGACCTTTCTTCCACAGAGATGCTGGGTGAGTTTGGACACTCAGGCTCCTCAGAATCTGATACACTGGGCACAGCATAAGGGGATGCTATTAAAGCAAGTGACAAACTGAGCCAGTGTATCACGAGCTGGAGAGAGTGGAATCTAAGAGATGAATTAATAAACTCAGGAAAGGCAGAAGATCAGAAAGAGATGAAAAGGCGATAAGTGGTATTATGGATTGAATTGTGTCCCCCAAAAGTATGTGTCAACTTGGGTAGGCCATAATTCTCAGTACTGTGTGATTGCCACCATTTTGTCATCTGATGTGATTTTCCTGTGTGTTGTAAATCCTGCCTCCGTGGTGTTAATAAGGCAGGATTAGAGGCAGTTATGTTAATGAGGCAGGACTCAATCTACAAGATCAGGTTGTACCTTGAGCCAGTCTTTGTACCTTGAGTCAGTCTGTTTTGAGATATAAAAGAGAGAAGTAAGCAGAAAGACAGTGGAACCTCATGCCACCTAGAATGAAGAACCAGAAACGGAGCACATACGTTGGACCTGGGGTCCCTGCACTGAGAAGCTCCTAGATCAGGGGAAGATTGATGACAAGGACCTTTGCCCAGAGCTGACAGAGAGAGAAAGCCTTCTTTTGGAGCTGACACCCTGAATGTGGACATCTAGCCTCCTAGACTGTGAGAGAATAAATTTCTGTTTGTCAGAGCCGTTCACATGTGGTTTTTCTGTTACAGCAGCGCTAGGTGACTAAGACATCTCGCGTGAGAGTTGTCTTTTCATTATCTTTTCCCTTCACTGCGCTTCTCCAGCCTCTACCAGTAGATGAGATTAGGAGTCAGTCTTCATTATTTCAAATCGTCAGTGAAGACCTTTTTAAACAATAAAATGACATACGCATGCAGTCTACTATTGTATCTGAAAGTCTCATCCATCTAGATTGCAGAGATTTATAATGTTTTATTACCATCCTGTCTGTGGGGCTTACAGATCAGGATAATTGACTGTGTCCATCTCTTTCAGTGTTGTGAATGAAGCTGCTGAGGTTGTAGCTGCCTACTTCATTTCTTTGTTTACTTTTTCAGTCACTCATTTATTCAATAAGTAGTTGTGGAGAGTATGCTCAAAGCTAGGGGTTCAGTGGCGACCAAAACCAGATGTTGCTCCTGCCGTCTAGTGGGGCTGATGTGCATTAATAAAACCCCACAAATCAGTGTTGATTTCCCGGTGGTAGTAGAACGTGGAGGTCCATTTACTCTGCTGAGATCACACTGGCTTTTTTGTTCTTCATCAAACACAACAAGCTCATTCCCACCTCAGGCCTTTGTCCTGCAGCTTATTCTCCCTGGATGCTTTTTTCTCAGCATTATCATGGTTCCCTGTTAGTTCACGTACCCTTTAGTCGTTCTGCATCGCTTACTCGGCTTTCTTTTCTTTCCTTTCCTCATTCAAAAATTTATACGTAGATTGTTTTGTGACATTGGTTACAATCCCTGCAGTGTGTCAGCTCTCTCCCCCTTTCCTTTCCACCCAGGTTCTCCAAGTCCATTCATCCAGTTTTCCTGACCCTTCCTACCTTCTCATCTTTGCTTTTGGGCAGGTGTTGCCCATTTGGTCTCCTGTACTTGATTGAACTAAGAAACCTGTTCCTCATGTGTGTTATGGTTTTTATAGGCCTGTCTAATCTTTGGCTGAAAGGTGGACTTTGGGAGAGGCTTCACTTCTGAGTTAGTAGAGTATACAGGGACCATAGTCTTGGGTTTCTCCAGCCTCTGTCAGGCCAGTAAGTCTTGTCTTTCCTTGTGAATTTGAATTTTGTTCTGCATTTTTCTCCCACTCTGTTCAGTACCTTCTGTGTGATCCCTGTCAGAGCGGTTGGTGGTGGTAGCTGAGCACCATCTAGTTCTAGGCTCAGGCTGGTGGAGGCTGTGGTTCATGCGGTCTGTTAGTCCTTTGGAGTAATATTTTCCCTGTGTCTTTGGTTTTCTTTATTCTCCTTTGCTCCAAACATGATCGGATCGATAGATGTATTTTAGATGGCTGCTCCCAAGCTTTTAATACCCCCAATGCTACTCACCAAATGAGGATGTAGAATTTTTTTATGAACTATCTTATGCCAGTTGACCCAGATATCCCCCAAGACCCTGGTCCCCAGCCCTCAGCCCCAGTAACTTAGTCCCTCAAGGTGTTTAGATGTGCCTATGAAGCTTCTATGACTTTGCCTTGGTCAAATTGTGTTGACTTCCCCTGTATTGTGTGTTGTCTTCCCCTTTATTGTGTGTTGTCTTCCCCTTCACCAAAGTTAACTTGTCTACTATCTAGTTAGTGATTTCCCCTCCTCACCCCTCCCTCCCCTCCCTAGAAACCATCAAAGATTGTTTTTTTTCCCTATGTGTAAACCTTTTTTTGGGGTTTTATAAGAGTGATCTTATACAATATTTGTCCTTTTGTGATTGACTTATTTCACTGAGCATAGTGCCCTCCAGATTCATCCATGTCGTGCAGTGTGTCTCGGATTCATCATTGTTCTTTAGCATCGTGTAGTATTCCATTGTGTGTATGTACCATAATTTATCCATTCATCTGTTGATGGGCACTTAGGTTGTTTCCAGGTTTTGCTGTTGTGTATAATACTGCAGTGAACATGGGTGTGCATATGTCTATTCATGTGATGGCCCTTACTTCTCTGTGATAAATTCCTAGGAGTGAGATTGCTGGATCATATGGCATTTCTATATCTAGCTTTTTAAGGAGGTGGCATTTTGTTTTCCATAGCGATTGTGCCATTATACATTCCTACCAGCACTGCATAAAAGTTCCAATCTCCCCACAGCCTCTCCAACGTTTGTTATTTTCTGTTTTGTTTTTTTTTTTTACATGAGTGCCAATAATGCCGGGGTGAGATGGTATCTCATTGTAGTTTTGATGTGCATTTCTCTAGCGTCTAATGATCACTAGCATTTCCTCAGGTGTCTGTTAGCTGCCTGAATGTCTTCTTTGGTGAAGTGTCTGTTCATATGCTTTGCCCAGTTTTTAATGTGATTATTTCTCATTTTGTTATTGAGGTATTCTATAGATTTTAGATATTAGACCCTTGTCGGACATGTTGTAGCCAAAAATTTTTTCTAGTCTGTAGGTTCTCTTTTTTAGTCGTGGTGAAGTCTTTTGATGAGGCATAAGTGTTTAATTTTTGGGAGCTTCCAGTTATCTAGTTTATTTTTTGGTGTTCATGCATTTTTAGTTATGGTTTGTATTGAATTTTTGCCATGTATTAGGACCCTATCATTGTTTCTGTTTTTTCTTCCACTGTCTTTATCATTTTAGGTTTTATATTTAGGTGTTTGATCCATTTTGAGTTAGTTTTTGTGTATACTATGAGGTATGGGTCCTGTTTCATTTTTTTACAGGTGGACATTCAGTTTTTCCAGCATTATTTATTTAAAAAAATTCTTTTCTCCGTTTAATGGACCTTGGTCCTTTGTCAAAGATCAGCTGACCATAGGTGGGTGGATTTATATCTGGGTTCTCAATTCTGTTCCATTGGTCTGTGTGTCTGTGGTTGTAGCAGAACTAGGCTGTTTTAACTACCATAACTGTATAGTAGGTTCTGAGGTCAGGTAGTGTGAGGCCTGCTACTTTGTTCTTTTTCTTTAGTAATTCTTTGCTTATCTGGGGTCTCTTTCCTTTCCATATAGAATTATTGATTAGTTTTTCCATTTCCTTAAAGAATTCTGTTGCTATTTGTATTGGGATTGCATTATATCTGTAGATCTCTTTGAGTAGAATTGACATTTTCACAATGTTGAGTCTTCCTGTCCGTGAGTATGGTATGTTTTCCCCTTTTATGTAGGTCTTAATCTGGTTTCTTGCAATAGTGTTTTGTAGTTTTCTTCGTATAGGTCCTTTACATCCCTGGGTAGATTTATTCCTAAGTATTTTACCTTCAGGCTATTATAAATGATATTTTTTTCCTGATTTCCTTTTCGAAGTTCCCTTCATTGGTGTACAGAAATCCAACTGATTTTTGTGGGTTGATCTTGTATGCTGCTACTGTGCTGAATCTTCCTATTAGTTCCAGTAGTTTTCATGTGGAATCTTTGTAGTTCTCTATGTATAGGATGATATCATCTGCGAATAGGGATAACTTTACTTCTTCCTTTACAGTTTGGATACACTTTATTTCTTTTTCTTGCCAGCACCCTCACTCTGTTGAGAATGATGTTGGCTGTTGGCTTTGTATAGATGTCCTTTATTATTTTGAGGAATTTCCCTTTTATTCCTATTTTATTGAGAATTTTTATCAGGAGTGTGTGTTGGACTTTATCAAATGCCTTTTCTGCATCCATTGAGATGATCATATGATTTTTTCGTTTTGTTTTATGTGGTGGATTACTTTGATTTTCTAATCTTTAACCATCCTTGCATACCTTATGAGTCCCATTTGGTCATGATGTATTATTTTTTTGCTGTGATTCTGAATTGTATTGGCTAGATTTTGTTGAGAATTTTTACATCTATATTCATGAGAAATGTTTGTAATTTTCTTTATTTGTGGTGTCTGGTTGGTTTTAGTATCAGGGTTATGCTGGCTTCATAGAATGAATTTGGAAGTGTCCTTTTTCAACGTTCTGA